TGAGCGCTTTATTATTTTGTCATATAACAAGTTGTGTGCGTTTCTGAGCAGACTGCATTATTTGCCCCTTTTAGGATCAGGTAGTCCCTGGCCTGATCCTTTTTCCAGCTCTGGAGTTGAAGAGGTCCTCTCATCCTACCTTCTAGAAAATCCTATCATATGACAGTACTAGTCTCTCGGTCTTTGTCTTTAGGTTTTAGGGAATGTGGCTCCTTCTGCATCTTTGGACCATACCCTTGGCAGGTCACCTGATCTTGAGGGTGGTGGTGTTCCTCAACCATTGAGGAAGAGGAGACTTTGCTGTGACAAGAAAGGTAGTTAGATTCCTGACCTTTGCGTAATGTCATCTGTAGTTCTGTTCACTGTGCCCTTCTCTGATGCTGTCAATTGGAGGTCAGGCTTCCCTAAATGGTTACATCTGGACACGGAGGGTCCGGCCCATACACCCAAGTGCATTCTAGGATCTATGTTGCAGATGGAGGGTGCTGGATGTGGGTCATTCGTTATCCTGGTTCAACTACAGCTGAACAGACTTGTCTCCAAGTGCAGAAGGTAGCAAGGAATGTTCTGGTGACTCGTGGGATCTCTATAGGCTCTTCCTCCTCTTATACTCCTTTGAGTGAGGGCTTTTCCCCAATTTTGCGGCAGATTGACCCAGGTAAATGTTCTTTGCTGACCTGGTAAGGCTCTGGACTGTTGCTCTGTGGACTCTGACACATCGCTGAATATGGGGAGTTAGAAGCATTTCTAAATCTGTGATGCTCAACGATAGGTAGTATATTTAACAAAGTTTTTATTATGTGTCTTTACCCCTGGGGGTTTTTTTCCCCCCTCCTCCTCTTCCTCCTTGCACATCCTTTATAGGTTTCCAGGTTCCTTACCCACTTTGTCCTTTTTGTGACTGTGTGGGATCAAAAGATGGTTCACCAAATTCTGTTCCAATCCAACCTCAAGGGGTTCTTCCCTTGTAATCATGGTCTGTGCAGGGTGAGTGTCTGAACGGGCAGCACTATCATGCATGGAACCCCATTTCTTTTTGGATCTGTAATAGGGTGAGTTAAGGCCAAGGACCCTTTTCTGACTTAGGGTAATTATGAGGTTCTCTCAACCAGGACATTGTTCACCAGTCCCTTTATCCAGCCCCAGCTACCAGAGGTGTTTCCTTTCCTTGTTGACCACATTTTGGACTGAGAGTCTTATCTACTGATATCCTGGATGGTCTCTTTAGGGTGACTTTTTCATTCCACCTTTTGATTTTATGGTTCGGGTTTTCTCCTTTCCCTGTCAAGACGTACTTCACCGTGAGTGGTCTTTCTCTTCCGGCATCAAGCATTGGTTCCCTTGCTTAGGTATCACTTGGTCTGTTTTCTCATTTTTGTTTCCAGGTGGAGGCTGCAGCTTCATTTGGTGCCAACTTCATGTGCTGCGTTTCCCATCCCTCATTGGATGAGAAAGGAAATATAATTTTTGTATTTGGTGTAAAATCCTTTTCTTGGAGTCTGAGAAACACAGATCCTACCCCTCTGTGTTTATGATCATGGTCTCAGTACTGTTTTAATACAAAACTAAGCATTGCTGGTAGCAGGAGGATCTAAATTGGGCTGACCTAAAGTTTTGTATGTCACTGTCCAATCATCCTGTTGGTGGCAGTATAACCATAACCAAAAGGTGAAAGACTTCCTGTGTTCTTTAACCCCTTCATGACTGAGGCCCTTTTTTCAATTTTTGCACCCATGGTATATTCCACATTTTAGGCACCAAGAAAATGATTTTATGATAGAATTGATATGAAATGATAAATTTATATGATGGAATTTAAAATTCCTATTTTTAATCTATAGTTGGCTTTTTATTGCCTAATTATAGAGTATTTTCTAGCAATATTATTTTATTTAAGCACATTTTTGCTTTTTTGAAGCACAAAGCTGTGGCCACTTTAAGAGATTGCTGGGTGGAGTTAAAACATTGATTTACAAACCAGTTTTGTACATGAAAGCAGGAAGGAAATTTGACCTTTCTTGTGCTGCTAGTGTGGATCTCGCTTCTCTCCCACTTGTGTGTTCACTGTAAGTTCTCAGATGTTGATATATTTGCAAGCTCATCTTGCTATATTTTGTGTGCAAAAATGTTTAACATTTGGACGAGACTGTTTTTTTCAGTTTTTTGCATCTGTAAGCTTTAATGTTCCTCTTTTTCTTTTTTTTCTTTCTCTTCCCAGTTGTCACGCTGTTTCAAAGTTCACATCCCCTCCCCACCATGCTGCTGTACTTGAGATTTTTGCTGTAGTCACTTTATCCCTATAGAGCAGACTTTTTTTTTTCTTCACCTTTTAATATTTTTGATTCGGTTTAGTAGTGAAGTGTATAACACAGCCTCTATTTGATCAGGAAGATGGGTCATGTTTTTTTTCTCGATGTAGATGGTAGATTTATTTATCTATCTGAATACATTTTTTACCTGTACTATATTTTTAACTTAAGATTCTTTTTTAAGCATTTCAGTGGCAAATACATATGTAATGTTATGTGGTGTTTTTGTTTTTTTTAATTGCATACACAAAAAATGAACTGTTGAGCCGTACAGCTGCTTTTATCAAATATATGCACACGCTTGGTGCACAAATTTTACAAAGAAAATTCATACTGTTTATACAAAAAATATTTATGTAAATATAAAAACCGTAAATTTTATGTTGGAACATTTTTGCCCCATCTTGTTTTATAAACGAAATAATATAATGGTTTCCTGTTTTTAGTGCAGGATTTCTCCTATTTTTATAGTCTGTGTGTCTTCTGTACCTCTGGTAGGGATGATACTTGCTGTATGTCTCTGTTTACTGGATATGAACCAGGAATCGCCTGACCCTTGAAGCTATTTGTTCCACCCTGTCCCCAGGTGTGTGCCAGTTTCTCCTGAGTATACAAAGGAGTAAACACTTTTGAATCCTTCACCTGTTGCTTTTTTTTTAATGCTTGCTATCCTCGGGCGGGGGGGTAGAATCTAAGGTTCAAAAGAAAAAATACTGCCTGCTAACGTAGAAACATTAAGGCTTGAGTCACACTTTTGCATTGCAATAACACCTGGCAACCCATGTTATGGGAGTTGGTGCACTGTGCTGGAATTCATTCTGAAGGGCACGGTAACTCACTACAGAATAGGCTGCTTTAACGTAATGTGTGCCAAGCACCATCTATGGAATTTTTTTTATAGACCCTACATACAAGGTTACGCATTGGAATTCGCTATAAAAAATCAGATTTGGCAGATATTTGCATGTCTAAATTTTCATTAAGGCTTCATTTTCTATTTTCTTTAAGCATCCAGCCCTGCATGTGTATCATTTTACAAATTGAAATCAATAGTTAAAAAGTATGGGTCTTCAATATTTGTGTAAACTTCACAACCACCTGTTATGCTGCCCATTTCAAACCATGTTTCATGACGATTTTGATAATAACAAAAGATAAAAAAAATTAAATTTGAACAAATGTTTGTTTGTACTGATGTAGTCCATATTTGACAGATACAATGTTGTCATTGAAATGATCACTTTAACAAGATGTATGGATAGCTGTGAACTCCATGTGTATTTTGCAATAAATATATTGAAATTAATGCATTGTGCTGGTTAAAAAAAATGTGTAATGGCACAGTCCAAGAAAATTAAAAGAATTGGTGATAGAAATATGGGAGCTACCACTGCTAACTTGCTTTTAGGCCTCATGTATGAGGCCGTAAATCAATTACTGATCATCTACACACAAAAAAAAGTAAATGTCCATATAGCGACCAAACGCTAATTCTATTTTCATACCATTCCATTACATAATTTTTTTATTTTATGGATCTGGCCACAGCAAAAGTTGACTGATCTTTGCGATCATCTGTGTTCATAAGCCCATAGAAAACAATACACTGACCAACACTTTTTTTTTTTCCCCTTGGCCTTGTTAACTTGATGGAGGGGACTTCAGTGGCTGCATGCTTTTTGCAGCCTATGAACTCTTGATAGCATACGTAGCTAGTACTTTTATGATGCCTGAATATGGTCTTTAATTAGCAGAACTTTCATTTCAGTAACTTAAAGGAGAACTATGAGGTGAGTGCTTTTCACTCACCTCATAGTTCTAGCCGACCTGTGACAATGAGACTGTCACAGGTCGGCTCAGTAGATCGGGAGGTGAGCGAACACATAACGGCGTTCGCTCACCTCTCGATCCTGTCACGGCTCTCTGCCGTGACGGGAGGGGCTGGATTCGCTCCTATCCGCCAGCGCTGACTGGCGGAACGGACGGAGAGGGGGCGGGTACAGCTGGCTCTGCCTCTAGACAGGCAGAGCCAGCTGTCAGTCACGCAGCCGGGCGGATCCCGGCCTGATTGTGCGAGAGTATACCGCGAGCTACAGCTCGCGGTATACTGAGCCTAGGGTGACGGGAGGATGCTAGTGTCCTCCCGTTACCCTAAGGAGAACTATGGGGAAAAGCCCTAACTCCATAGTTCTCCTTTAATACAAATTACCAACTTGGAAAGTTCAGTATAAAATCAGCCGGATCTTCTTAAGTTCTTAAGCTTTCTCTGTAACATGCACAGACGTGCGGAGGTTTATTCATATCTGTCTGCTTGCGATCATTTACAGTGTAGATAGTTTGATTCATAAACCGGTGACATACACTTGTCCTGGTGTGTAAGTGGAATCTAGACTGTTCATTGTTCTGTAAAATAATCCCAAAGTAACTGCAGGAGCAATGACTATGTAGGTGCCATTTTGTTTTACCACTGATATGTACAAACTGCCTCAGCTTTGTTACTCAAAGTATTCTAAAAATGATCCATACTGCCCAGGCTGCTTCCACCAGTTTATGTTCTTAATGCTGTGGAAATGTTATCCTTCTCCTGTTTTATTTGTAGTAGATGTTTTCATTTCTTGTACATCAGAGTACAAAGCTTGATTTTGTTGATTAGTGATATGATGGTGATAGTTTTATTTTCTTTTTTTATAGGTTATAAAGGGCAGATTTGTGCTTTTTGAAAAATGTCTAAAAACAAATCCAAATCAAGGTCCGGGTCATCCCGCTCTGCTTCTCGATCAAGATCCCGTTCATTCTCGAAATCACGGTCACGTTCAAGGTCTGCTTCACACTCAAGAAAACGCAGGCACAGGTAAGAATTCTGAGCTTTCATGCTCTACCACATTTAAAATGTGCTAATCCAGGCAGAATTCCTTAAAGTAAACCTATGTTCACTTACACTTGTGTATAAGACAGCCATGTGTCATGGGTTCTGTACAGAGGTTCTTGGAAACCCTAAAATACAAAAAGCCACCACCTTCTTTCCTTGTCTCCACTTCCTCCCACCTCCAGTCTGATTTAGTGTAAGCAATAGTGACAAAAGATTTTTCTGTTTCTTCCTCCACGTTGTGAATCTGACCATAACTGGTTGCTTGGGTGGGTGAATAGTCTCTAATGGCTTTAGGGAACTTTGAGTTTACAGCTGATTTTGTGAATGTGTAAATAGTAATGTTGAAACTGTAAACTCCATGGATATTCGCTATCATTTGGATACTTGTGAATCAGCAGATTACAATAACATTACCAAGTATGAAAGCAGTATTTTGTTTAATGTGGTACTGATATTTTAGTCACTGTTTCACCATTACTGATGAGTTATAGTTGGTAGAGAGAGTACATGAACAAAATCTATTTTTCCATGTTCAAGAAAGCCATCAAAGAAGAAAATCAGGCCTACATATGGCTTCCAAGCTATCAGTTCAGCACCATTGCTGTGCATAGTTTATATATTGGACAGCCTATCCCTGGGTTGCATTGGGCCTTTTGAACTTGCTCCCAATAGTTGGTGATGGAATTGGTCTTAGAAGGATGTGCAGTACTAGGTACAGCTAGGTGGCCCCAGAGCATCCAGGGTAGATTTTATTTTGCCTAGCATTACACCTGAATAACAAGACTACTGTAAAAACTATCTTGCATTATTGTTAGGTCAGAGGCGATGAGAATAGCTGCTCAGAAAATTCTAATTTTACACTGCCCTCATTTTAGGTGGGCGTGATAAAACTATGATTTGGGTGTGAGGATAGTGTTTGATTAGAACAAAATAGAACTTTTGATGTTTTATAGTCTTTACATCTTTATATTAATGGCATGTAAAGTTTAGCCCTCAGTCGTTTCTATTTGAAGCTCTCTAGGGACTTTTTTTTTAATTTTTTTTATCCCTTAAAAACATGAAGGCCAGTGGGAAAAAGGAAGAAAGTTGACTGGTCACTGTGGATAACAATTCCACCTCTGTTCCATTTTCTTTTCTCCCTTTAGGGCTCAAGGAAACGTGAAACTTTGTATTAAAACACCCACTCTAGGAAAATGGCTTTTGTTGTTTGAGAGAAACCACGCATATTGGAGCCCTGTATTCCTGAGATATTTCACTGTGAGATCCGATTTTGGTGATTCTTCACGGTACTTGTATGATAGCTGTATCAGTGTTTGTAGTGTTGGCTTTAAGAATATTGAAATTGTTAAATTTAGAGCAGGTTTTTAGTTTTTTCTTTTTTTTTAAGCTCACTTTCCACCCCATAATTATAATTGCAGGCTGAAATGCTGCTCCTCTACGGCCCCTTTCACACCATTGTGCTGTTACTACAATGCATGGTAATGCGCACTGACAGTGTCGTCCCATTATTTCTGAAAACACCCCAGTGCACCACCAAAAATACTGCATGAGCAGAAGCCCATTAAAAAAAGAATGAGCTGCCTAACACGTGCATTTAACCCACTGGTCAGGGCTGGTGCGAATGTGCTTTTAGATCTTTGCTATGCCGACAGTCTGGAGCTGTACATTGAGGAAGATACATATTTTAGGCAAGTATAACCTAGTGCTGTATAGCTGACTTTAGTGTGCACCTTGCTGTGACTGTGGATGTATTTAACATGACACAAAATGCTTGGTGTGGAGACTTGGTGACTATCAAATAACTGTATACAATCAGTTTTAAGAAAAAATGTTTGGTAATTTTTTTTTTATGACTACTTTAAATTTTACTACCATATAATAACAGTATATGAGGCTAAACGTTGAAACTGATCATTTTGTAAATACAATTGGTGTCAAATGTGGTAGGGTTTAGCAGTCGTTTTGCACCTTTAAGTGAGCTTGATGGTTTTTAACAGCTGTGATGTGAAGAGTATTATTAGGGGCGGTTTTGACCCTCCGCTAAGCATTTGAGATAGCCATCAAATTAATAGATTAAAACTAAGTGGCTCAGTTCTTAAAAACAGTAAATCAGTCCTTCCCAAAGAAAGGTCAAGTTTACTCTTGTTGATTTACATGCAACATAATAAAGCCGTTGCCATCCTTGACCGGGCACCATGAATAAAAGTTCTCAGCTGTTTGAGAAGTGCCATTTGTAGAGGTCAGAATGATGAATTGTACAAACTCATAAAGCAGCATAGATCAAATACATTTCTACATTGTGAAGCTGAAGACAGCATGCTGTTTGTATAGAATAATCTCTCTATCTTGGCTTTCTAGTCACAAACCTGGGCAATTTAAACACAAGAATTGGTTTCAAAATACGTAAGCAGAGGTTACAATTTGTACAAACATCTTTAATAATGATCAGTAGATCCAGCCAGATGTATGAAAATCTGGACTTTTTTATAAGAAACTTGCCCCATCCTCCTACCCCCTGAGCCTGCAGAGGACTGGACTAGTCTTTCTAAAAGAAAATCCATCTAAGGCTATATATTTGGAAGCCCTAATCATTTTCAGTTGGTATTCATCATAGGTAACTTTTAGACCATGCATTTTTTAAATAATATGCTCAGTTGGAATTGGCCAGTTTTGGAGTGCAGAACAAATGTGTGTAACGTTTTTGTTAAATGTGGAATTGTAAACGGCCATTTTGGCAAGAGCCTTAAAAAGAATTGTCCACCCTTCTGACCATGTTTCATGGTAAACCCATACTCAAGGCATAGCACGAAACATGGTCACATTCTCCAGCCCAATCATACCACCCCCCCTTCCTAGCTTACTTGATTTATGGGCTTCTCGCTGCAGCATTCTGTATACTTTTGAATTCACCTTGACCTGCACAGCCGGGTCATCCATTTACAAATCCATGCAGGTGGGCTTGTCGATCTCAATTGAGCCACTAGTGTGGTGACGTATCTACACGTCCATTGACTACTTCCTCTAACCCCATAATAGAAGGTCTGAATCTTGGTACAGACTTGGGGCTGAAGGAACAGTCTGCAGGAGCCTGTGCAGTGCATCGATGATCAGCTAATGGTGACTGGAATGCTTTGCAGGCTCCAGTGCCGGCTTCCCGGCCAATCAGGAAGCCGTGTGGTGGGTCATGACCCGGCTTTCTGATTGGCTGGGAAACCGGCTGCATTTGGTGTTTTAGACGATACCCCAGGATGCAGGTATCGATATTCTGTATCGGCGAGTACAGAAAAAAAAATTGGTACTAGGTACAGAAAAAACGGTATCGGTGCATCCCTACTTTTAACTATTAACAAAACTGTAGCTAATTTATCACTCAGCTGTAGATCCTCAAATCATCTCTGAATTGGTGCTGACACTGTCCTTCCTTCTGGAGGGTGGCTACTTCTGTTCTCCATGGTCCCTGTGTGTTTTGTCAAGTAGCCACAGCTCCAAGCTCACTCCTGTGATTGTCTACAATCTCATGTTTAGTTTACTAATTTGTATTGAGATTGTAGTCCATCACAGCAGTGAGCTTGGAGGAGTGGCTACTTTACAACACACACGGGGACCATGGGGAACAAAAGTAATCACCCTCCCGAAGGAAGGACAGTGTTGGCACAAATAAGATACATTTATGTTAACCTCTCCAAGCTCACTCCTGATGGACTACAATCTCAGTACAGATTAGTAAACTAAATGTGAGACTTTACAACAAACACAGGGTCCATGAGGAACAAAAGTAGCCCCCCTCCAGAAGGAAGGACAGTGTCGGCATCAATTCAGAGATGATTTGAGGATCTACAGCTGAGTGGCTGCAGACACAAGATGCATTTTAGTTAAGGTACTTGAATGGATTTTTAAGACTTAACTCCTGACTCTCCTACTTTAATGGAAATCAGAGCTGAGAGAAATACTTTGGGCTACCGTTTTTGACAGTCTTCCAAAAAAGCTGTTTGCCGATCTGTCATTCTGATTCAATGATTTCAATACTTCTGACTTAATTCTAAACTCACTGGCTGCAGACTTGCTTGTTTTGTGGTAAAGCCAGTCAGCCTCAGGAAGAGGTCATCAGTAACGTCTCTCGTATTTGTCATTGTAGCTGTCCTTTACATATACAGTAATAGATGTTTTTACTGATCTGCTTGGCACTTGCATTATGAGGTTAACTTCAGGTGGATCATATGGGAAGAAAACAAATTCCCCATGAGATATGTGGATACGTAATTGAATTTTGCAGTTGGAGGCTCTGCTCCCTTGAATCTATCTGCCATTAGTGACAAGTGGTTTAAATTGATAGTGTAGATCCCATGTGGTGTCTGAACTCTGTACTTGAGTTTCTAAGCTAGGCAGCTCCTCCTCATATCTATGTATTGTGTGACACGCGTCAGTTGTTCTGTGGCTGTTAATATTCTCTATTTTTCAGTAGTAACTGAAACATCTTTTTGGCACCTGGCCTTACTGAAGTGCTTTGAATTTTCCTCCCGGTTTCTCTTGCACAGATCTTGGCTTGATGCACTGCTAATCATTTATTTCTTGTTAGAATGTATTCTCCTGGGCAACCTAAGATAAGCCATTTTTTTTTAATGGGCATGTTTTGCATCGGCTCTGCGCAAGCTTGTGACTTTTAGGTTTTTATATGACTTCAGCTGTCTAGTTCTGCAGTGCGCGGTTTTGTTTGGATGGTGATTCTGACTAGAATCCAATGAAATCCAAGAAGAGGTAAGAAGTTCAAGGATTTGATCTGCTTTCTGTTTCTTATATTTCTCTATTGCGTTGTCACTGGATGAGTTTAAAGGATTTAGGATTTTCGTCAGCTTCGATTCTGTCCGTTACTTTTGCTTTGTATGGATTTAATTTAAGGTATAGATAAATGTTACTTCTCCTCCAGCGTTAATGTTTTCTTTTCATAGGAAGTATTTTGTTGTCTGGCAAGAAAAGTTCATAAACCTCAACTTGTGTTCCCATTGCTTTTATCAACGGTAGTTGTATCTGTCCTGATAGCTGGAAAGACGCATGGTCTTAGCTTGATGTAAACCAGGACTTGAAAGAAAAAGCTGTCTAAACAATTTTTTTTATCAAGTACAAAATATATGCATATATGTGGGAGAATGTATTTTACTATAAATTGTAAATAAAAATAAAGTTTTCAATATTAACATATATTATTTTTAATGTCTGCTATCAAATAATTTCTAGAACATAAGCCTGTATAGGGAACAAACTAAGTTTGTATCATCATTTTGAGAACAAAAGGTCTAATGTACACATAAGTTTGATAGAAAATGAGCAATTATGTTGTATTTGCAGTTCAACATTAGTCAGTACTAAAAACGTCTGTTTACGCATTTTAATGCTATTCTTTGCTTTTTAATGTTCTGTTTGATTTCCAAAAGGGTCATAGTGGACTGGTGGGTTATAGAATTCTATCTTGTAGAAAGTTACTGATAAATGGATACAAAATCTGGAATAGAGACTAGTATGCAGGCCTTTAAAGTTTGAGAAGTAGTGCCATTACTGTAGTCACAGAGTTAAAGTAGTAAGAATTAAGTTAAACCGTATTCTTAGTTGCTGAATCAATACTTTTTCACAAATCGTAAATGAATAGTTAAAAATTCCCATTTCAGTTGTTTTATGGGACTGGGCTGTTTTAAGATGGGACTCTCCGTTTAACCTGAGCCTGTATAAAAAGTGTGCAGGGAATGTGTTGTCTGCTATATAAATACATTTGTTTTTTCTAGTGTATTTTTTTCTTTTGTGCATATATAATGTTATTGTGGTGTTTTTTTTTAATATAGCTATACTGTTTATTTACAAATCAAATTGTCTAGGTAGCCAGTGTACCTAATGTCTTTGTTTTCTGGCCGTAGATCTTAATTGGTTGTAAATGCCCTCATCTAAACTGATAATTTTATCATTTCCTTTTCTTGTTTAATTGCTGTCAGATAAAGCCGTATATTGCAGTGTTTTGGTATCGCACTTCTTTTCAAATAACGTTTGTGTTTAATAGTTGGTGTACTGCTTTATGGCTTTTTTTTTTTTTTTTGGGGGGTGTCCCACTGTACTTTTATTTGCCAAATTGCCATTTGTCTGTGGTGTGGTTTTTGTTTTTTTCTTCGTTTTGTGTTTGTATTTTCCGCCTGGTTTTACATTTTCAGCAAAAGTGATATAGAACACAACTTGAATTCATTTTTAGAAATGATAGCTGGTTTTGCACTATAAACAAATAATTTTGCTATAATGTAAAACCTAAAAAAAGTTGTGATTCTTAAAATCTATTTATGTACTAATAGAATGTTGCCATTTCCTGCCCTCAGAATGCTTTAAGGACTAAAGTTAGTGTTCATCCTCACTTTTCAGTCCGGTATACTTAGTAATCCTTTTGGTATAAAGTAGAATAACATAAGCCACTTAGGCTTACATTTTTAAGTAATATTACACAAAGCTAAAATCTGCCTTTCTGCTTAGTTTTACACTTTTAATCACTGTTCTTTGCTCTGCTCTGTACAGTAAATTTGCCTATTGTAAACCGAGATTCACTGTCATATGGCTTGCTGGGTGCTTGCACATGCCCGATCAAGCAGCTGAACAAATCTCTGCCCTACATCAGCCAGTCTGCTTGTTGCTAGTGTAAGAGCTGATTGAAAGAAACAATGGAGAGAGGTGCCTGCTTAATATGGTTATCTTATGGCCTCTGCACGATGGCCATAAAGAAGGTGCCCAAGGTCCAGTTACTATATAAAGTATATTTTTAAAGACCAGGGGACTCCAATCCAGTTGAATTACCACAAATAACGTGTGCAATATTTTTTATTTTGGAATGCCCTTGATTTTGAGATGCTCAAGATGGTATTACATGGTGCATGCAAATACCTGAAGATGACACTTTATTTTAAAACCGGTGTTTGTCCTCAAAATGTAAAATCTTAAAGTGTGAATTTCAGCACCCTTGCCTTGCATTTCTGCATTGGGGTGTTTAAGACCCAGGTGTAAGCGTGTGTGAGTTCGATGTACTCCATTCTGCATACTTTGTTTACATGGGCTTGTAGAATACTTTTTTTTTTTTTTAAAAGCAGTAGTCTTAGCCCTTGTTCACACCTGAACGTTTTGTAGCGCGTTCTACGCTCGACGAACGCTCTACAAAACGCTCAAACATCTAAATCCCATTGTATTCAATGGGTCTGGTTCACACCATGGCATATTTCAGCCCGTCCCTAACGCGCTACAAAACAGCCCACGCCTGAAAAGGTACATGTACTACTTTGGGCCGTTTTTGTTGCGCGTTTCCATTGGGATACAGCCAAGTAGCCCTCGGAAACGCGCGTTTGTCGCGCAATTTTTTTACCGCGAATCGCGGTTAAAAAACGCGCAACAGACGCGCATATGCAATACGCCTAGGTGTGAACCAGGGCTAACGGATTAAAAAAACACAATCCTCTCTGTACCTGGCCTGCATTAGTATATTTTGGCTAAATTTGCCATGCTGCTCAGCTAAAATGTCTGGTACTAGATTACTGTTAAGATTTAAGTGCTCACGGTACTGTTTATACAGTCATAAAACGCAGGTATTTTAATCCCACTTATAGACAATGATTGCAACTTTTTTTAATTTTTTTTTAGGAAGTTTTTTTTTTTCTCTTGAGGTTGGAAATTGACTAAAGTGTCCCTGCATTTTTAATTTGCTTTCTGTTGACAGTAATAATTACCTGTGTTTTATATAGCGGCAACAATTTACGCAGCACTTTACATAGTGTAATATAAAGAAACGAAACCCACAGGATTCACGAAAATAAAAATATAATGCCAAACCTCACATAGGAAGATTAAAGAAGGGTTCAGATTGTGTTGCAGCTTCTTCCATGCTTTTAGAAAATAGTGTTTATGTTTTCAAAAGTAAGTGAAGCTGTCCTTTTAGGGCTTGTTCACACCAAGTGCGGAGCAGATGCAGAGCAGTTTAACCAGTTGACATCCGGGGTGTTAAACCCCCTTCCCATCCAGGCCATTTTTCAGTATTCAGCGCTGCGGTACTTTGACATTTATTCCGTCATGCAGCGCTGTACTGAAATTAATTTTATACCCTTTTTTGAGGAATGATAGAGCTTTCTTTTGGTGGTATTTATTTACCACTAGGGTTTTTATTTTTTTTACTATATTAAGGAAAAATTACCGAAATTTTAAAAAAGTTTCCCCTATATTAAATGATAAAACGTTTTATTACCCAATTTTTTGGTAAAATATAAAAGATGGGGTCACGTCGGATAAAAAGACACCAAACATGTCAAGCCTTAAAATTGCGTGCGCGCGAAACTTAAAACGATAATACCCAAAATTGGCCATAGGCGACGCTTTAAAAGCTGTTACCGCTCATCAGTTTAGTGTTATCAGTGATTGATGGCCCTAAAATGATTGCTCTCACTGCGACATTCGCGGCGATATGGAACGTGTAGCGCAATTGTAATTTTTGCGCGCTGGGGCACCGGACGCGTATTTACGTTTATAGGCGCGTAAACGTGGGGGAGTTATAAAAAAAAGGGGGGGGAAACCCCAAAATGTTTGACTTTTTATTTTACTTTTTTATGTTTTATTTTTTTTATTTATTTATATTTTTTTGCACTTATTGTTATTGCTATTATATAGGGGGATAACAATCCCCCTATATAATAGCAAAAGCACACTGACAGGTCCTCTTTATGGAGACATTAGCGGTCTCTAGGACCCCTAATGTCACCTGTGGACCCCAAAAGAAGCTGATGAAGCAGAGATCTTACCGACAGCGGCGCGTGGGGAGGGGGTTGGGGGCTTTGGAAACGAGCACATATAGTCGATCGGCGGGCTATGGAGCGGCTGATCGCCTATATGTGAAACACCCGGTAACGGGTGTTTGCATTGGTCGGGTCTTTTCTGCCCGTGCGTGCCCGCAGAAAAAAAATGCCGTCTGGCGACGGCAACCCGCCAATGCTGCAGTGCCGTCCGTCCGTTTTTTTACTACGGGCGGACGGCAAGTGGTTAAGAACACATCAAAACTGCATCCAATGTATTCCAACGGTATTTTTGGCTCTAGTTCATACCAGAGCGTTCAGTTCCAGTGCATGTGAAAAAACTGCAGCAGGCACTATTTTTTTCTGTTCTGGAGCACAACAAAATGCATGCAAATGCTCTGGAACACACTAGACTACACCTGAAAGCCCATTTTAGGCTAAAGAAAAAAACTGCATATGCAGAAACTCATCCAGATCTGGTCCAAATTTTGTATGAACAAGCCCTCTCTGCCTAAAGCCTTTCCCCCCATCCTTCAATAATGCCTTGCTTTCCAACTATATGGGGCAGATGGGTGGCGGGGCCATAGACGAGGTGCCTGAATTCGGTTTTAGTTTCCTTTTTCCAGCCTTTTTTTCCCTTTTCATCTTCCTGTGTCTGGTTGGCTTTGTGTTTATTCCTCCACTGTATCTATGGAGGGAGCTATGGTTGTAACATTGGGCTGGACTTGAAAAATGTCTGCCTTTTGTTTATCTCAATTACTTAGGATTTGATGGGAGTAGTAGCTCCTATAAGCAACATAGGATTGTTTTCGGTAAACAGTTAATCTCACAAAGTGACAAGGTCACCACCATTCTGGCAAGATCAGATATTTTCTGTACTTGCTGAAAATCTTGGCCTGAAAAATGAACACTAATGTAGCCACCACATCTAAAACTGCAGTATATAGTTATTATTGGGTTTAGTTGGATTTAAAAAAAAAAAAAAATACCTATGATTATGAGCCTATTGAATTCTAGGGCGTCCGTTAGTATGGTTGAGTATTTCCACTGGACATTTAGTCAATGCTGATTGTGTCTATTTTTATTGTCCTCTTAACTTTACACATTCTTCTTTTTTTTTTTTTTCTAGTTCCCGATCTCGCTCAAGATCTTACTCACCTGGGTATAATAGAGAGAGAAATTATCCAAGAGTTTATCAAAATCGTGACTTCAGAGGATATAACAGAGGTTATAGAAGACCATACTATTTCCGTAATCGTGGAAGAGGCTTTTATCCACGGGGTCAGAATAATCGTGGTGGCTATGTAAATTATCGCCCTAACTGGCAGAATTACAATCGCCAACAATATAGTCCCCGTAGGGGTCGGTCTCGTTCCCGTTCCCCAAAAAGGAGATCAATTTCTCCTAGGTCCAGGAGCCACTCAAGAAACTCGGACAAGTCATCCTCTGATCACTCTAGAAGGTCTTCATCTTCTAGGTCTTCCTCCAATCACAGTAGAGTGGAGACTAAGCGTAAATCAAAAAAGGAGAAGAAGAGTCATTCAAAGGATCAAAGAAGCTCTGTCCAGGCAACAGATGATGACTCTAAGGAACAGTCTGCATCAGTAGCTGATAATGAAGATGCAACAGAAGGCGGCAAAACATGGCAGGATATGGAAGCGTATGATACAAGTCCTGTACCCCAGCACAGTCCTGAAGAACGGGCACCAACAGTTAAAAGCTCTGTGCAGTCTGTAGTGGTGAGACGCTGTTCTCCCAGGCCAAGTCCAGTGCAAAAACCCAGTCCTCCTTCTCCCTCTGTATTACCAAGTGGTGGCACTTTAAGGTCATCTCGCCAGAGTCCTTTTGAGCACAGCTTGAGCCCACCAAGAAAAAGTCCTATGACAAAGAGCTCACCCACAATGGGTTCGCTCTATGGAAATCAAAAAGAAGAGGGCAGATCTGGAGAGTTGACTGCACCCATTGGCACTGGATATAAAAGGTATGCTTTGTGGCATTACGATTACCCTCAGTTTAACCTGTATTGGAAATTTTAATCATACATGGTTTCTTTTTCCATTTAGTTTGCAGAGTTACAGATGGCTTTGCTGTGCTGTTGGAGCATTTTATATTCTTCATCTATGTCCAATGGCATGCCAGGTCACAGAGGTTAATGTCCATGTCTAGAAATGTATATCAGTTACATTTAGGAATGTGGTTACCTAAGAATCTACTAGATGTCTCTTCCCTGTGATATTTTCTAAAGTTACAGCAACATGTGGCCCAGATGCATGTTAACTGCTCCTACCCTCTGCATTAGTTGCAATGTAAAACCAACATAGATCCCACTTCTATGTTTTGCGCAGTTGCTATTGGCTCACGTAAGCATTTTTGTAAAAAATTGCTGTGTAGAAAAGAATATTTGGTCTACAAAATCATGTGCTCGTGGCACTCCATGATTGATTAATTTGAGCATTTGTACTTTCAATATCTGGTTTCTTCACCTATCAAAAGCTGAAACAGTTGCTTCATGAAACTGCACATTGCAAAAAGGACTGGTGTGTAGTGCCTTATGGTAATCGGAGACAATCTTTTACTATGGATTTTTGCTTGCCATAACTGATTGCACTATTATCAAGTTCCAGTTTTCACTGGTTTTGTACATGAGTCACTTCATGGGAATGTGTCTTCCATTGCTTTTTTTCAGATAAATGCAGTGCCCAGTACTCATTTAGGGCCCATTCACACCAGCAGCACTTGCAAAGCCTGGCTTTAATTTAAGCCTGTGATAAGAGCAGCATTTCTGACATGTTTTACTAGCTGTTATTCAGACTTCCTAGCTTTTTATCCTGTCTCTGACCTAGATCCAGTATGAAGAGCTGACTTTTCTATAACTTCCTTTAAGTCCTTTACCTGTTGACAGCCAGTCTTACAACGTGTCCACATAATTTACTCCTGTTAGAAGTTCTACATGACAGCCAGTGTTACGTGTTCACGTCATTTACTCATGTTAGAAGGTCTACACGACAGCGGGTTATACAACATCTTACAGGCTGCCATTGCTGAGCTCCTTTTTTTTCCTCTCATGACAAGTTTCTTCTAATTTTGTATTATTGCTTGAACCTCAGTTAGTGCTAATAAGCCTTTGCAGAGCTTGGGCATATAAAACATTTTATTACCCCAAAATATTGGATATGCTGTTGAGCACTTGAATCAGAACTTCTAGTTTTTTCTGGCACTTTTATACTACCCGCACTGCAAGGGTTAACTCCTGGTTTGTGTCTAGGTTAAAAAAAAAAAATTTTTATTTCTGTCCTTCCAATTTGCCTCCCCCTGGTCTAAAGTCTTGTAAATCATCAGGTCTATACACTGGGGGGAATTTATCACAACTGGAGCAGTTGAATCAGCTCTCTTCAGTTTGCTCAGGTAAGATTTAAAAATGAGACAGAGAAGCTGATTGGTTGTTGTGCATCCAAACACTTATTAGACCCTCCAAACCCCCCCCCCGCACGCGCTCCCCGCTGTGTATAGACGTGAGCATCCTGAGGAGCAATCCAATGGTGGAGCAGAGGAGAGACAGGCTGGAGGGAGTACTGTGAATGCTGGCCGGCTCAGAGTATCTTTATTATTTTAGCACCTAGACACAAAGGAGCATTAACCCTTGCAGTACAGGGGTTGCCCCACTGCAAGGGTCAATGGGGGAAAAAAAATGAAGTTCTTTAGTGTGCTATTCTCTCAGAAGGACTTTTGAACAAGGAAAAGCTAAATGTATGTGGCTCATGTAAACTAATAACCATGAGTGCACTCCAGTTTGTCCTGTAAGGCATCAGATGTCGGGAACTATACCTAGATGTGATTAGGCCCTTAATTGAGAATTTGGTAAATGATTTTTGTTCTAGAGGTCACCATTTAAAAGAAAAAAACAAAAACTAACCTTGACTGTAGTTTTGGCCAGACTAATACAAATGTATTTCCGCTTCCAATTTTTTATCTATATATTTGTCTTTTGTTTACAGTGTGCAGGCAATTTTTAAACCCTCTAGGAGACTTTCAGCAATGTTGAAGTATTTTTTAGCCTGTTGAGGCTTTCTTTTCCAGTTTGTCTTTTAAAAGAGAATCGCTCCACTGCAGAGGAGAAAAATGTCTCATGGTCTTAAATTCAGACCAAGTAACATAATAAGATAAAAAGCACATTCAAAAATGCTGTTCTACCAAGTACAGGTTGGTAAAGTGACTGAAGTAGCTTGGATGAAAGCATAAATTCTATTTAAGATGGCATTATAGGTTTAGGACAAACTGTGGTAAGTAACTGGATTTCATTGCACACAGATGGGTATTGTGTGAGAATCATTGTTTCATCCTAAAGCAGCAGTTCTACTGGGTGAAGTACAATTTTGGGCCAGGCAAAGCCTTGGTGTAGGTTTTCAGGTTGGTATGAAGGTTTGCCCATTTTATCTGACTGTATGAAGAGCAAAAGGACATCAGTTGTGTATGGAAAGAAGACATCGGTGTATTAGCTATGGAATGCTTTACCACATGAGCTAGTAATGACAATATCAACATTGGAATTTAAGAAAGAACTTAATGTTCTTACATCTAATCCTTCGTTTGCTGAATGGTACAGCGGAAGTATTTTGATCAAGGAATTAATCTGACTTGCGGGGTCAAGAAGGAAAATTCTTATTCCTCCTGTGTAGGAAAGTTGGTTATGATTGTCAAGGTAGTTATGTTTGAGGCTTTGTCACAGTCTAAACAAGTACCAAATCCAGTTACTTTGTGATGAGCAAACCTTATAATAAACAAAAAACAACCTTTGTGTTGAGCCAAATTCTCATGTGTCTCGCTTTCACCCTTCCCAGGCACTGCAGCTCACAGTGGGAATGACTTGGCAACAATGACTAGGTGTCATGTGGTCAGGTGCTGATCAACAAGCTAGTGACTTGTGACTCAGAAGTAACAATGCTGATAGCCATGGCCCTGCAACCTTTTGTTTTTTTCTTTTATCCCCCTGTAGTTCAAGCAAGCCCATCCTATATGAAAGTGCCAACTCTGTTCTGAGAGAGCAGTGCAGCATTGTTGCCACACCATGCTATTTTAAGTGGACTTCACTGGAACTTTGCAGAGGGGCTAAGGAAAAGAAATGCGCTTCAGCATATTTCTTTTGATGGGATGTCATAGTTCTTCTTTAGGATGATATTATAATAAATGGCCTAACACATTGACAAACAGTTGGCAGTGTCAAGTTATTGATTTGCCATAAGAGAAAAACGATGTGACACGTTTGTGCCAGGTTCTTCTTTAATAAAGTGCACATGTAGAACTGCTGCTTTCATAGTATGTTCATTTGTAACGATTCTTCCCCTATAAATGTCATATTCCCCACCGTGTGTTTTAAGCCATTTTCCTGTCTCATATGGTGGTAATAATGAACCTTTTGTGCCAGAGTTGCTATCCATGTTTTGCTAATTCTGTGATATGTTTAACCAAGTGTTTTTTAGGGTTTTTTTTTTTTTTATATCCAGCAGAAAATGTGTTTTGCTTCTGCTGATGTCTTTAACAAGTATAAAACTGAAGTTTAATCTGCTTATATTTTGCTATCCCTGGTTCCTCATTTTCCCGCACATGCTAATTACATTGTTAACCTTTCCCATACAACCTTTCCATTTTCATTACGTACCTTATTTTAGACTACATGTCATTATGAGGTCTCTGTGTTTTTCTTTGCAATGCAGGCAGATCAAAATGGGTGAAGCAGGTTGCTGCACATGGCTTCATGAAAAACCCACCACACCCTACCTCAGTACTCTTCTCAAAAGCTCTCAGCGCTGATGCAAGCAATGCGCTGGTTAATAGGGGGCAGTTGTGCAAATATCAAAATACCTTGATGGGTGGATGTCAGTCTGCAGGAGTGGGCATTCATAGGCAGACTGCATTTGTATGAAGACTGCCCTAGGTAATACCCATGTGTGATGCTGAAACTCCATGATTGAAGGACTGAAGTCCAGTTTAGGCAAGTCAGGAACATAAGGCTGGGGAAAAAGTCCAGAAAGACGTTTTCCAAGCAGGAAATAAGCCAGGCTCTGTCTGAGTTGATGCAGCTTCTAGAGTACACTGTGACCAGCTCAAATGTGCAGTGAAATCAAATGTAAGCAATTTAAGTACTGAAGAGGAGGCTTTATAAGTTTGTTCTTTAATAATCCCCACTGTGCAAGTAAGCTCTTCTCTGAGTTAGTCTTGGGTTGGGTGGTTTTAGTTGACTAAGCTGTGACCGACGCTCGCCAAAAAGAGAGCTCTGTTGGCTGCACGGCGTTAGGGGTTGTGAAGAGAGAGGACTGTAACTATTATTGGATCAGCTTTACTGGAAGTAAGAAACCTGCAAGTGACTGGGGGAATCTTATGTATGTTCTCCAATGTTTGTGCAGTGCTCTGTGGGCAGACTATATTCATTCTCTTTTCCTCTAAAGGTTCATGGAAGAACAGAGAAACAAGGCATCGGAACTAGAAAAAGAAAATGGCCGAGACAAAATGAAGGATCGTAGTAGTCCTACTGATTTTGCTATGAGTGAATTGGAGAGGGCTTATAAAAAGAGCGTATCCCCAAAGCGCTACAAGATGAAAGACGACCTGGAAAAACTCAAGTTAGCCGAGTTGAGATATGCCAAGGAGGAACTTGAACAGGAAAAAAAGGGAAGAGCAAGGAAAGACTCCGATAGCGATTCCAAGAATCAAGACCCATACGATCCTGCAAAGTGGGAAGAGCTGTCTTTCATACCTAGCGCCAAGGAGAAACGGAAAAAATCTAATGATACAGATGATGAGATCTATATGGAAAAACCCAAGAAAGAGGAGAAGGCCTCAAAATCTAGTCATAAAGGATTTCTACCTGAAAAAAATTTCAGAGTCACAAGCTTTAAGTCTTCTAAGGAGAAAAGTGAATCCCCACCACAGAGGAAATCGGAGAGCAAGGAAAAGCTTTTATCCAAAGAAGACCTGTCCTTCTCAAAATCCAATTTTTCAGTTAGCCGGGAAACTGGTCCTAATATCCGAGCGGATTCTTTTGACGAGGATCTGGCACGGTAAGTTGAGGTTAATATAAATGTCACTTAAAATTGTGTATATTTTTACAGCAGAGAAGAATGACCCTTGTGGTTTAGATAAAGTTGCAATTAACCTACCAATGTAGGTTGTACCGATAACTGTCATTTCAGCTTTGCAGTTTTGGTCAGCTCATCGAAAGATAAGGGCTTGGAAGTTAGAAAGGCCATTCACTCTAATTAGATTGTGGTGGCCACAATGTGTTTTGGAGGGATGGGGCCAGTGTGGCCAGTCCTGGGCTTTGGGGAGGTTTTTCTCAAAGCTTAGTCCTACATGGCCCAACTATCTCTTGAGCAGCTCATGGGCTGAATGAGAGAATATCAAGTGGTTCCCACATTTACACTAAAGAGCATGGGGAAGAAAATCACCAAAACCAATTATTTTGTTCAGTAGCTGCCTGAAAATATTTGCACCGCTTAACTGCATCTGCTAAGATTATAGGATACTTCAGTTGATAATTTTGCACCCGGAGCTTTGTGGTACTTGCAAGCCCACCCATGGCACAAATTTCGGCTATTTGCAGGAATCTGACAAACTTTCAGCAGTCTATGGCCAGCGTAAGATTTTCTGCATGTTTGAAGATTTCTTGTGACCTTTTTGCAGAAAATGCCAAATTACTACAGATTCTGGAAATTAGTTAAGTAATGGTTCTCATTATTTACTTCAAGCCTTGGACAACCTCCAATGATCCCAACTAACAAGTAAACAATGTAGAGATCTTATGGTCACCAGAATCAAGGACACTGGTCCTGGTATGGAAGTAAAAATTGTGGCTTTTTTTTGCTTTTGCACTTTCTCTTTCCAGAGGTTGAGTTTTACCTGGCAACTAAAGATTACTGCTTTGCATTTGGTCATTAGTGAAAAGTCCATGGCAGGAAAAAGGATCGATTGTAGGCTATGATCTTTTAGAGTGATCATGTGCATTACATGGTGTCTGTACTCAGGAAAATGGAGGCATAGCACCAGTACTCATGCCATACCTGCCTACTGGTCACCAGATACAATATTTGGGAATATGTATTCTGAGACTCGCCTTTTGATATTTATGAATATGTTGAGGACTATTGCTTACCACTGCTACATTTTCATTCAACAAAGTGTCTGCTTATTGTAATAACTTACATCTGCCAGTAACTGCAAAAAGTTTCCAGGATTCTGAGTTATAGATCCGATGCCAGTTTTTACTCCCTCATCCTGGGCAGTACAAGCCTCGGTGTATTTTTGCATACAAGCAAGGAGACATGGGAGTCGATTAACTATAGGCAAAAATACTGTTGCATGTGTTTTTATGTTTTGTTTTTTTTTTAATTAAAGAACTATGGGGTTAAGGTTTTCCCCCATAGTTCTCCTTAGGGTAAAGGGAGGACACAAACTAGCGTCCTCCCGTCACCCTAGGCTCAGTATACCGAGAGCTGCTGCTCGCGGTATACTGAGACGCTGAAGCGGATCCCGACAATTGTGCCCATATCCGCCCAGCTGCGTGAGTGACAGCTGGCTCTGCCTATCTAGAGGCAGATCCCGCTGTACCCGCCCCCTCCCCCGTCCGTTCCACCAGTCAGCACTGGCGGATCGGAGCGGGGGGGGAATCCAGCCACTCCCCTGTCCCGGCAGAGAGCCGTGACAGGATCGAGAGGTGAGCGAACGCCGGTATGTGTTCGCTCACCTCCCGATCTACTGAGCCGACCTGTGACAGTCTCCTTTTCACAGGTCGGCTAGAACTATGAGGTGAGTGAAAAGCACTCGTCTCTTAGTTCTCCTTTTAACTTTGCATGTGAAAGTTTGGACAATACTGCAAAATATTAGCTTTAGCTTGTTAAGCATATTTAAATACCTTTAATGTCCATAACCTGGCCACAGGTTCACTTTTAAAGGCCCATTTACATATTTTCAATAATGGTAACCTACAATGGCACCCCAACACCTGCATTGCAGTACCCCATACTGTGAATTGTGATGTGCTTCTATGCAAAAAAATTTGCATGTCTGATTTTTAGTGTGGTCTGGTGTGTTGCTGGTCTATTCAAATGAATGCGCTGCTCTATCACAATGTGCCAGGCCCCGGCCGTGTAAAAGGTCCTGTACAGCAACTGACCAGTAATCTGCTTCTGTTAACCCTCATGACTTGTGGCCACTCATTGAAGTGAATCTACCCCATTTGACCTAAGCAACTACTTTAGCCCAGCAGTAAGACAAACATCAGTCTCTCAGTAAAAGATAAATATTGGTGGGATCACATGTGATGAGTTCAGAATAATGACCTTAGGCCTTGTCACAAGATAATGGAGGACAAAGGTTTCTGTCTTTAAACCCACAGGCAGTCAGATTAATTTTACAATGTTACCAACAACACTGAACATTTCTTAGTTGTGCTGCATCATACACTTTAAGGATGACAGCTAGGACAAAAAAGGTTGTACATTACTGCAACATCGCCGCAGCATCACCAAGTTCTATAACTGGCTTTATGGGCCTATGTTGTGTTTTGGGCTTCTTTTGATGGCATGAGTTTCACATCAGTTGGAAATGCTTCTGACATCATTCAGAATTCCTTGATGGGTACAGTTGACCTCCTAACCTGTATTTGACCTGCTTCACGTGCATTTTGTTTTCCTATAGACTTTTAAATTCCAAATTGTCTGACACAAAAAGCCTCTCGTAAGTGGTTTTCTTTTTTTTTTTTTCTTCAAATATTCATTTTTTTTCTTTTTCCCCTGGTATATAGTCCAAGTGGAGTAATGGCACATGAACGGAAGCTGTCTCGAGATCTCGTCCACAGCAATAAGAAAGATCAGGAGTTTAAGTCCATTTTCCAGCACATCCAGTCTGCACAGTCTCAGCGCAGTCCATCTGAGCTGTTTGCACAACACATTGTGACCATTGTCCATCACGTTAGAGGTAATTTTTGTTTTTATTGTGGATGTTTTGGTAGATGAGGTGACTGGTAATAAAGCCATTATGGCAACAAGCTGCAATATATGTTCTTCCACAGACGCAAAGTTTACCAGACACCTTTTTTTGTTTTCTTTTTAAACTCCAAGCAAAAAAAAAATTTTCAGCCCCTGCTATGCATTTTTAAATGCAATGTCTGTTCATTTTATGAAATTGCAGTCAAAAGGCAGCATTCTTAAAGTGACATTAAAGATGCGTTCAAGTACCCTATTAACAGAAAATGTAACTTATTTGTGTATCACTCAGCTGTAGTTGCTCAAATCTCTGAATTCATGCTGACACTGTCCTTTCTCCAAGATCACTTCTGTGATGAACTACAATCTCTTGTTTAGTTAGCTAATTTGTTTTTTAAGTTACAGCGAGCTTGGAGTGGTGGCTACTTTACAATACACACAGACCATGGGGAACAGAAGTAGCCAGTAGCTGAGTGATACACAAATAAGGTCCAGTTTTGGTAATAGTGACACTAAACTCAGGAGTTAAATTTTTCTTATCTATCTTATATCTCATTTTTGTGTATTAAAGTTTCGTACGACCTGCCCATCTTGGACATGCAGATCGTACTTGCGATCATCGCAAGTCCTCCCCGCTGAGGGGAGGGCTTACAGATGATTGCAATGGGGAGCGGGCAGTGTGCGCTTGCGGCTTTCATCTTCCGAGCACGCTACCAACCCGCCGTAAATCGTACGATTTTCGGCAGGTTTTCCAGCATGCTAGGAAGACGAAAGTCCTTTGACCGCATCTACTGTACGGTCGCACAACTTTCATCATACGATTTTCGGCGATTTGGTAGCGTGCTCGGAAGACGAAAGCCGCAAGCGCACACTGCCTGCTCAGCATTGAAATCATCGGCAAGCCCTCCCCTCAGCGGGGGAGGGCTTGCGATGATTGAAAGTACGATCTGCCTGTCCAAGATGGGCAGGTCGTACGAAATTCACCTGATTATTGTAAGATCGCGGGATCACCCGCGATTATTGTACGATACTTGGCAGGTGTATGGGCACCTTTTAGATACTTGTAGGCATGGAGGAATGTTTGTCATACACAAATGATGGCTTGGTTAAAAAAAAAACAAATGCTTCCATTACTCTAAGCTTAGCAGTATGTGCATTTTGTCCTCTTAACAGTATTGTGCAAAAATCTGCAGATGGCTTTTATATAACACTGAGAAGGTAAAAATAAATGTGTACGTACATAGATTAGAGGAGAATTCTGGGGAGAGAAATACACTGAAGATATCGCACATCGGCTCTATAGATTGAGAACTGAGAAATCGCATACCGTTGATGGCTCAGTTCATGATCATCTCCCTCAAGAGACTGTCGGTCACTGGTCCTGCAGTGATTGCCCCCTCTCCGTTCCTCCAGTGTGGACTGGAGGGACGGAGAGGGCGGGCACAGCTGGCTGTCAATCAGATGGCGGGGTGGATCCCGACAATATTGTTGGGATCTTTCCTGGCCGCAGCGCTGCTCTGGGTTGTCATTTCCTGCTGTATTTTGGGGTCATAGGAGGACATGGTAAATGCCCTCTTGTGACCCTAAAGAGAACCAAGGCCAAAAAAGTTTGAACCACAGTTCTCTTTTCAGTAAAAAAAAAAAAATCTTTAAAGCCTCTATAGCTGAGGGTTAGACATGAGGCACAAATGAATGCTGCTCTGTAATCAATGCATCACTAAATGTATTTTTTAAAATATCTGAATCTGACCTGGTATTGGCTGTCTGCAGTCTCTGAACGGTGTTAGAGGAAGGATCCAATCAGTTTGTGTTGACAAGATTCATGCTGATAGGATTTCAGATGAGCTCATCACTGTGCTGCTTCTCCTATCGCTGGGCAGTCCAGGAAAACATGGGCTCAGAGGAAGTGGAATGAATGATGCTGGACATCAGAATGAGGAATCTAGTGGCAGAAAATGCACAGCAGGGAAAATCTCAGAAATAACGCTAAATATAACTGCAAAAGCGAGTTGTTTTTTTTTTCCTATTAATTGGCGGTTTATTTTTATCATGTTTTTTGACTAGAGTTCTGATTTAGTACTAAGGAAAAAACACAAACAAGGGGGCGCCTTTCCTGGTGCAGACAAATTTATTAAGATTTATTAATTAAATGTATTTAGTACTACTTAAAGCAGATATTCTAAAGATGATTGCTCTTACTGAACTAATCTTTGTATAGCATTACTATTTATGCTGGGGCTTCAGCCACCCGTCATTAGCTTAACATTTTTCAATCCATTACCTTTAGATACCGTCTGTTTACCAGAAGATATTATTATTATACAGGATTTGTATAGTGCCAACAGTTAGCAATGTCTCCCTCCCTGTTTTGTAAAGTGCTGCACAATCACAATACAATACAAGTGAGGGTTTACAATCTAAAAGGGAGGCTTGTTGTCCTTTTTAATAGTTATAGAAGATAGTTATAAGTAGATTGTCCTGTAATACTACCAGTTCTCCTGGGCTCATGCACTCCATACAGCATGCTTTGTGAATGTGCGCTGCAATGTGTTGTAAAAATGAATTGCAGTTCTTGCATTTTGTTGTTTTACATCCTATATGTGTAAGTGCTGCTGCACATTGTGATGTATTACAGCATGTCTAAATGCACTGCACAGATATGCAACATCCTACTTCTTTTTAGTCCACGCAAAAAACGTAGGGCAAATTGCCATTTTCTTGAGTTGGATAATGCTGCTGGTGTGTATGAGCACTAAGTAAACCTATAGGGAAAGGAATTTATGAGATGATCTTTGTGTTATCACACACACACACACACACACACACACACACACACACACACACGCACACACGCGTGCGCACTTTATTATGTCCTCCACATAAGTTAGGAACTGTATTCCAGATCAGAAGTTTAAAAAAAAATAATTTTAATCCTTCATTACAAAGTCATGTTTTTACCTTTCCAGAACATCATTTTGGTCCAACAAGTGTGACTCTGAGTGACCGCTTCTCAAGTTACCTAAAGAAAACAAAGGAGCCGGAACCTTCGAAATCTCGGAAGAGTCCTGAAATTCACAGGTGCTTGCCATTGTCCTTTCCTGCCTGTTTCCTAAAGGAGGGGAACGTAGTTTCATCTCACTACATATTTGGTTCACGCTACATGGACATCTAAGACTACTTGGTGATAGTTCACTGAATGAATAGATTGATCACTTTGCTACTTTCTGCAATATTTGTATAAAAATCTACATGCTATGAATTTGTATTATAATCCTTTTTCAGTGCAGCACGGCTATTAAATAGGCTGCAAGCAGCAGTGAGATTTAGCATCTTTATTCAATGAACTGATATCAATGTGAGATTTCTCAATGAACTGAAACCAACCATTGATGTGAATGGGATGATATTCTTTATGAAGTACAGCAACAATATGTTGAAAACACATCTGCTATGCACAAAGCATTTTAATCCTCTTCAAAATGTCCTACTTTGGAGCCGGGGACATTGGCTGGACAGCCGTTGTTCAGACAATTCCTTAGCAGGGAATGTCTATATTGTGCGCTTTGCATGTATGTTTCATGAAATCCCACTCCTTGCTTTCATTTCTGATGCAGTATTTAATGTCTTCTGCAGGAGAATTGACATTTCTCCCAGTGCTTTTAGAAAACATGGGTTTGTACACGAGGAGACAAAACACACAAAAGAAAGCAGCCACAAGGTAAGGAAGTGCCCTAATAATAGACTGCATTGTGGAATAAAAGATCTAAGTAGGTGTTTTCTATAAGAAATGCTTCTCTCTTGCTCTCTACTTAAGTTTGTGTTTTTCTTTTAAGGATGTGAAATATTTCTAAAAAAAAAATGAACTGCAAAATGTTAAATTTTTATTAAAACAAAATCTATATATCAACAACCTTTTGAAGTGGTTTAGGATATGGTAAAAAAATGAAATCACTCCAAAGTCTATTGTGATTGAACTTGAAAAGAGAGGAATTTTGGATCCAAAAATCTCCAGTGATGAGCAAAATGACCCTAATGTATTTTTGGGTTCTGCTTGTAAGTATCTTACTCTATTGTATACAAGACTCACTGTGTTCATAAAAGCCAGTTGCATGTATTGGAAGATGGGACTTCCATCTTCACAGTGTTTAGCTGTTTTGCTTTGGTAAACAATTGAAGAAGCAGAAGTGGATGGTATGCAAACCATTTATACAAAGAGAATGCTTACTGCAGTTCATTATTTCTCCAAAATGTCTATGAAATTTAAATGGGGTTTTCATCTTCAGGATTACACTTCTATATGTCCAGTACTATCAAAATATTTCCATTGCTTTTCTCATTTTAATAAGGACTTCCAGTTGACGTAAACATGTAAGTTTCATAAAGGTACTCAGCAGGCTGTGGCATTAGAATGCAGGCAACTAGAACCTGTGCATACCATTTAGATGGCTTCCCCAGCATCCTTGGTGCCCAAAATCCTAGGCTGCTGTAACATCAAATATCACCATTTCATTTTGGCATAAAGAGCAAGCCCATCCATCTACTGAAAGTTCAATTTGTATAGCAAGACTTTTCTCTTGTAGGATTTGGGCTGATAGAGACCTGTGAGGAGGGGGACAGTTCTCAGTACTGCCATTCCAACAATTCAGGGTATTTGGGAATCTATAGGAGTCATCTGACTATACAGTATGTGCTGGCATTTCTAGATGCCTGCATTGTAATGACACAGTCTTCATACCTAGTATGATAAGGCTCTGATTAATGTTTCTGTACATTATGGAAAGGATTATTTGCAGGTCGGTAGCCCGAAGGAAACCCTGTCACTGACCTAACAAGATTGCAGGTGAAAGCACAGAAAAATTAATACTTGCAGCTTTTTTTATTCCTTTCTATAGATATGCACTTTTAATGGGCCTTTCAGTTTAAGGAATTTGTCTACTCCAGGAAGAGTCATTTCCCTTGCAAAGCCCTTTCCTCTTCTAGGAGTGTCTAATTCCTGACTGCTGGCCCAGCATCTCTGCCCCTCTCTCCCCCCCCCACATAATCTTTCGTGCAACTGCCGGGGGAGGAGCATAGGGGATCACTATAATATGTTACTTGAATGACTGCTGGGGCTGCTGACCTCATTTCCAAGATGGCGGCACCAGCAGCAGTATCCAATGTTTTGAATGTCTACACAAGAGGCTTTTACAGGTAAATGCATAAAATAGGCAAAATACATATTATTATTGGTATTTACACAACGCTACGCCACTGTGCTGCCCCACATATTTAAACATTTGGAAGATTGTTGTTGAAATTAATGGTCTGGTGACAGGGTCTCTTTTTCAGATTTGTTGCACCATGCTTTGTTACCCACTGCAGCCACCACAAAAACTGCATTTACACGCATTTGAATTTTAGGGCTTTTTTTTGCTTGAAAACCTCATTTGGTTTCCATAAATCCGACGTTGCATTGTCCAAATGTGAAATGTTTGCTTTTACTTCAGGTCAGGTAGGTGGGAAGAACAGCAAAACGTTAGTAGTCATAAGATTAGTCCCATTGAAATGGTCTTTTAGGCTTCATTCACACTAGCAGTGTCATATACATGAATTAAGAGCACATTTCTAAATGCATATACATTTTTATGTCATTGATTTTCAATGGCATCGTTCAGACTTGGGTTCCTGCTTTCAGTTTAACTGTTTAGAGAAGAAAGAATTCTGTGCGTCCCCTATCTGAATAGAAACTCTAAATGTGGCTTAAAGCCGGAACCTCTAAACGCAGGAAAAAGTGATCTGGGAAGCATAAAATTAAATAGACATCCCAAATAACTTCAGTGTTTAGAAAAGCTAAACATAGGAGTGCCAGTGTGAGTGAGGTCTAAGTCTTTACGTTCATTGCAAAGCTTAAAGTTCTCTTTTTATATCACAACTTTTACAGCCTAGAAACAACTGCTGTGCCACGTGATCCTCTGAAAATTGATATGGTGGTTAGTGGTGGATTTGATAACTGTATTTAGAAGCTGACTGCTAAATGCGTGCTTTGAAATGGCTGTAGATCAGCTAAAGTAGATCAACAATACTGAACTGTGTAACCGTTTATCATTTCATTTTAACCATGTCACTGTTATTTAACTGTTGTTGCCAACTAATTTTAGCTTAGTGAATTGCATCAAATGCGCATTTTGTTGTCTGGTCTGTATTTTAGCTTGGTGTCCAAAAAAACCTGCGCCATCTACACCCTATGTGTGTATCTACGCTTACTGCCGACTAATCAGCAGAGGGAAGTGACAACTAAAATCACGTTAAATCTTATATAGCACACAATCAATATATCGATGAAATAAAATCAGTAAAATGTTTTAAAAAGACAAATCCCATCACTTCAAAAAGAAAAAAGTCCATATAGTGTGTTCCACCTTTGTGCGATCTATCTCTTTTGTCCACACACCAGATTCTCCCTTTAATACAAACGATTGTTACAATGTCTCCTCCACATCCTATTTCCCTGGTACTAAGGAGGTCCTGCTGGGAAATAGGAACAGACGTTTTTCAGGAGTTCAAACCCCCCCCCCAGGTCGGAGAGGAGCGGCTCCCCATCTTCTTTTTTTTATGTTACTGTTGAATATATGGGATTGGTCTTTTGATACATTTTACTGATTTTTATTTCACCGATTTTTTTTTTTTTTATATGGTTTGTGTGCTATATAAGATTTAACGTGATTTTAGTTGTCACTTTCCTCTGCTGATTAGTCGGCAGTAGGAGTAGATCTACACATAGGGAGGGGGTAGAAAACGCAGGTTTTTCGGACACTTAATTGATGAGAGGAAGTATACGCACATCCTGATTTGTTACTACACACATAGGGGGGAGATATCCATAAGCGCGAATAAATAAAAGATTACATGTATTTTAGCTTTGTTTTATTCTACATAACTCAAATGTTATCACTTGTAAAAGGTCATTTACAGCTTTAGAGAGGGATTGAATAGAGAGTAACATACATTGCTTTTCCAGGATTGGTTTTGGGAAGATCAAATACTTTTGGTAGTAAGATTTTAAGATTTCAGGTTTAAATTGTAATTGTGTTTTTAATGATTTTAAAATTCTGTTTGGAGTAAACTGCATTTTTTAAGGTGCAAGCAGAGTTAAGTGTCATAATTTTGAGATGTTTTGTCATGATACATTAACTTTTCAATGAACGCTGTAGCCCCGCATATATGTGTTATTTGGTCACCCAACCATATTACCATAATGAGAACATAGTTTGTTTTATATGCTTGTTTCTTTGGGAACAGCCTAATTTTTGCTTTTTTTTTGCCACTCCAGGGAGAAGGCAAATACAGAGAGGAACCTTCTGATCTGCGGCAGGATATTGAGCGCCGCAAAAAACATAAGGACAAGCGTGACCATTCCAGGGACTCTGGAGATTCTCGAGATTCAAGCCGGTCCAGGGAGAGGTCACCTGAAAAACCAGAGAAGGCGAGGAAGTCCTCAAAAAAGCACAAGTATGTGGGATAGAAGCTCACTGCACTCAGAATTCCTACTTACGAGCCCATTAATACCTATCTCCTCCAGTTTTTTGCATTAAGGCATTCCATTCAAATGAATAGGTATCGGAAAGGGCAAAATGTCACATGCAGCATTTTTCCAGTGCAGAAAACCACGACGAACAGTGGTGCGTTACCATGTTTTATAATGTGTTCTGAAGATTGTGCGTTGGAGGGGATTTCCTTACTGTGATGGGGTTCCATTTAAAATGACTGTGCATGTAATGCATTAATGCGTGCTTAGTTCTTCGTAGTAACTGCAACACATCAGAATGGTTTAGTATAAATGAGCCCCTACACTTGACAACTTCTCTTTTGAAGAATTTAGGTGCATCTCTGCATGCTAGAACAATAGTTACCCTAGCAAATTTTCCTGCAGCAGGAGCTGAAAAAAACATGTTCCATTTGATTGAATTGATCATTATACCGAAATATCAACATGTAATCGCTTCGGTGATTTTTTTATTTTTTTTTATAGTGCAGAAGTGTCTTGGGAACAAATTTTGTGCCAATGATTGTAATCATGTTATGATGAAATCCCTCAGCTGCATTGGTGTTTATAGCACAGAAAACACTTTTAGTACCTTCTCCCATGCTTATGATGTAAAGAGCAGTTTCTGAATTTTCCCTAGAGGTATTATGTTTCAGTACTGTTTTCAACCATGAACCTGGTTTCAAAGTAGTAACTATAGCAGTTGCTGCAAGAAATTACAGAAGACACAGTTGACTTATTTTGTAAATTTAATTATAGGGTGTATGTTCTTCAAGAGTCCAGTTGTGGTCCTAAAATTATAGCTTTTTTTTTATTTATTTGGGGTGACCACATATTGTCTACAGCCTTGGGTCTCAACTGGTGGGTCGTGACCCAAAAGTGGGTCTCAACCCCATGTTCAGTGGGTCGCCACGCGCTTTCCACTTTTCGATTTGCAAGGCGTCTTAGCCTCCCCCTGGCGCAGCACTGTCAGTTCTTGCGCCAAGCAGCCATTCATATGCTTAGTGCTTAAGGTGGGGAGGTCTGGAGCTATGCCCGCGAGGGAGCTCCATCCATACATTGTTTACAGCTTCCCCACATCCCCTGGACCACAGTGCTGTCACATTCTGGCTCCTGGCATCTCTATAGGGTGCGCAATTGGGTTGCACCAGCACCAGACTGAGGATTCACTCCAGTTCTCGTAATGTAGGGAGACTGGGTGGACCTTAAGGGAAAAAAAAAATGTGTTTTTGGAGTGTATATGTGTTTGTGAGATTGTGCCTGTGGTTGTGTGTTTGTCAGGGTTTTTGAGGGCCCATTCACAGTGCGTTAATCAAACAGTCCTGTGCCATTAACACACTGTATCATGCAATCGCACCTACTACGCACTCTGGTGTGGGAGGTGGGTTGTGTTGTCATTCATTTTAATGGCTCCCCAAACGTACCTCCCGCCCGCAGTTCAATCGCTGGCACCGGAACACATGGTACCGCAATGCGACTTGGGTCTCAACTTAATGACCAAGGACAAAAGTGGGTCCTGAGGTTACACAGGTTGAGAACACTGGTCTACAGTATGCACATGGTATTTCTGTGTTCAGTGTCTTGTTCTTTGGAGCCCACATGGTATGCATAAATGTACAGGGTGAAGCTTACAGTGCACCATGGTAAAAGGGCCAACTGTTATGACTGCATGAGACCAGTACAGTGGCCACCTTTTGTTTGTACACACCGATACCTAAAGATATGATTTACGGGCCAATCTATTGATTGAACAGATCAAGAGGTCACTAGTTACATAGTTACATAGTATTTGAGGTTGAATAAAGACATTAGTCCATCAAGTCCAACCTATTAGGATCTCATTCTAGGAGTACCTGTACCCCTGTATATTACGGTCCCTTAAGAAATCGTCCAAATGTTTCTTGAACAATTCAACATTATTTGCTGAAATCACCTCCTGTGGCAGCTGTGTAAACAGTAAAGAATGTGTCTGCATGGATGGCTAACATTTTATGAAAAGACTGTTAGGTATTCCTTTTAGAAGGCTATTGCAGTGCTGGACGAATCCCAGGAGCCTGGTAGCCAATGCTACCTAAAAATTACATCCGATCATTTGAGGTTCTCTAGTCGTCAATGGAGCTGGCTCCTTAAAAACCCTGCTGCCTCCTGGATTATACAGACCGGCTACTGAGTTCCATATTTGTCCACTCCTGAGCTATGGACACTTGTGGAGAGTGACAGAGAAAGGTATAAATATTAGTCTCATGGACATCTGATGAACATTCAAACATTTATTTTTAATTTTTTTAGGAAGCACAGGAAAGTGCGAGAGCGTTCTCGCTCTTCCTCCTCCTCCTCACGTTCCTCCCATTCCAATCGAGCACCACCAGCAACAGAAGAATTCCCTACCGAAGGCGATGATAAAGAGGAGAGCGCTGCACGTTTAGGAAACAAGGATTTCCAAGGAAGCAGTGACCGTGGACGAGCAAGGGGAACTTTTGTAAGCTGTTACTAGCATCCTAAGTAGTGAAATAATGACACGTGTGTGTTTCTGTAATGACTTCCAGTAGCATTTCTTAAGTAAACCAAGTTCCAAATATCAAGCATGTCAACAGAAGGAAAAATGGGGAATTAAAGAGTTTTGATTCTAAAGCGTTTGTCCTAGAAACAATTAACATTGTTATATGTGATATTACTGGAACCCAGACCAGCAAGGGTCTGTTCTAGCAGTGCTGGGAAATGGCAGTCATGCTCTTCTAATATTGCTGTCGGGTGAGAATAACCAGGCATGTTATGGTGAGATATGCTAAAAGTAGCAAATCCCCCCTCTCCCCCTTGTCTCACTTTCATCACAGATCCAAAAAATAAGGGAATTTAGTCCTTGTTTCATGAAAATCATCTATATATACACACATATGAGGGAAATGACTAGGTGGGGGATCAACCAAAGCACATCAAGTGATCTATTCTATTCTAAAAAGAATAAAGTCCCTGTCTATCGGAATGTATGATGTATATGAACCAAACTAGAAAAAAATGAGTCCCACTGTTAGACATCTGTTATCCAGAAAGACAGGGCTAGGCTGTATATTTTGCAGATATGACCATAAATACAATCCAGTATCTTTTATTGGAATCATCAGCATACATCCAAAATAAGCTGTAATGGTGTCCTGCTTCAATGCTTTGTCAATATGCACACTTGTAAACATACACATTTTACATCTATATA